GCAGACGAAATATCGTCCTTCAGCAGAAGAGAAGCACTGTCTATCACGGGTAATGTAAGTAGTTTTCTTTTCTTATCTTTTAAGATATTTTTCTTTTGTTGTAATTTAGGAGCGTACGAGACGAATTGGTGATACTCAACATACGCCAAGGGCATCTTGTAACGGCTAAAAGCCGTGTTAATTACTTTTGTTAATAGAACCGTTGATTTGGCAATCCCTTTACTGGGCACAACGCCAACAGACTGATGACCATAATGCAGAATTGGTCAGAGAAACTGGAAAAGTTGCCAGTTGTATAATTGGAGGAGCAGATTGCAAAATAGAGCTAGAAAAGCGCTAGCAATCGAAAGTGGGGACGAAAATTTACTGCATGTAAAAATTAAGGGGATCTGGTGGTTACATTGGCAGATCCGAGGGGAGGGCAGCAGGCGTTTTGCCCATCAGGTAACAGTTATTTTACTGTAGAAAACTCTCTTCGATACCCCCTGTCGCCCCTCCTCCCCTCCCTCCCCCGGCCATCGATGCAGTTTAGGGTCCACCAGCGGAGACAAGGGAGGAGGGCAGTGAAGCTTCCGATATAGTGACAGTGAGGGAAGGGAGGGGGGGGGGGAGAGAAGGAAAACGTCCAAATCGCCCCTCCCCCCTCCTCCTATGAAGCGGTCCTTGATCCATCTGTGAATGGTTACACCTCCGAGGCCAATGTAGCTAGTCATAGAACTTGATATATGTTAATTTGGTTATTTTTGTAATTTCTTTTGCATTATATCTGTGTGCTCTTTGTATGCATCTGGCAACTTTTCCAGAATTTTTTTTTGTAACGAAAGATACCATCGCCTGGCGATGGTTAACCTATTGCCCAGACTCTGGCATTTGTTACTCGAGCTTTTTTTTGCGGGGCGAGAATAAATGCTATACATTACTGCAAGAGAAACGAGTTGATTCCCCTCCATTAGCACAAATTTCGTTCATTCTGTATATGTTTTAACAGTTATTGCTTGGTCGTTGTAATCCTTCGTATCGCCAATAAAGCTAGCGATATCTGGTTATGGCGATTAATATGTAAACGCTTCATTTTCATACTGTTTTTTTTTTTT